CGAAGGCCCATCAGAGGACTGAGAGTCCAAGATAGTTCCTTGATAATTTGACTCGAGGTGACCCCTACAGTTATAAGCATTTTTGCATGTCCAGACACCCTTTTTTCAGATAAATTGGGGGTCTGGGGGGTGGGGGCACTGATTGGTGGACCTGATGGATAGCCCCTCATCAGAGCTAAACAACAGAAGAAAATCTGAAGCTCCTGTTTCATAGTTTTTTAGCAGTAACCATTTTTGTATGTCCAGATACCCTTTTTTCAGATTAATTGGGGGTCTGGGGGGTGGGGGCACTGATTGGTGGGCCTGATGGATAGCCCCTCATCAGAGCTAAACAACCAATGAAAATCTGAAGCTCCTCTGTTTAATAGTTTTTTTTTTAGCTATAACCATTTTTGTATGTCCAGATACCCTTTTTTCAGATTAATTGGGGATCTGGGGGGTGGGGGGCACTGATTGATGGGCCTGATGGATAGAGCTTCATCAGAGCTAAACAACAACAAAAAAAATCTGAAGCTTCTATGTTTAACAGTTTCTGAGTTATAAGCATTTTTGCATGTCCAGACTGGAGTGACATGCAGAGTGGGAATCTCTGGTTTAAAACAGAGAAGGTTTTCATATCAGTGGTTGTTCCCTCATATGTCTTCTGTCCTACTTTGATTAGTTTCATTTTCTGTTTTTGTCCACTTTGTAGATGAATGGCTGGTACTTTCAAGGTGGTCCCGTTTATCGTGCCAGCCTGACCTCTCCCTTTTTATCTTTCAGCCTGTCACCTTCATAATATGAGACGATCTATCAAATCTACAAGCAAACACAATCTCACACAGACATTCATACAAACAAGATGTTTTTTAGGAAGTTTAGCAGCAACTAAAGTTTTCCGTTGAAGAAAACAGTATCAACAGATTTTTATAATAGCTGTCTACATCTTTGTGTATCTACAAGCAACTTATGTCAGCAGTGAGAAATGTCTAAACAAAGGATGAAAATGGAGTTTCTGTTAAAGGAAATACCATTCTTATCAGTCATGTTATTTCACAATATCCACTTAATCCTAACATTTTGAGTCAAAGTATCACCCATCAGACAACATGAATAATAAGAGGTTTCATTAATATGCTGACAAATGTATGGAGAAACTCTAACTCACTGACATTCACTTATTTGAACACCAAAATACCAAACCTACAAATTTTAGGCACATGACTGGAACAACTGCTTTACTCAACGAATCTCTTTATTTTCAAAGCAAGTTAGAGTTTTAGTCGATGGTGAGAGGAGTTCACATCAGACATAAAAGTGAAAACTGAATTAGAAAATAAAAAAACACTTTAAGTTAAAATAGAACAACTACAAATTGAATGTGTAAAACATCAACAAGTTCTGATTTTTTAAATGACAAAGTAAAGATGGGATTTTTTATTGTTTGAGGACATTATGAGATAAGGAATATATAGTCGGTAACAGATAATTTTCACATCATAGTCCATTTTTTTAATTCAGTCTCAGAAGAATACCTTTAGTAAATAGTGCCAAGGTGTTTGCTGCAGAAGTTTATTTGGCCCTTTTTAAATGTGGTTATTTAAATAGAAGTTCCCAATATTTATCTGTTGCTTGCTCGGTGAGCTATAAATTATAATTAGAATAAGGAAAAATGTTTGTCACTCAGCTCAGTGCATTAACACCTGTCTGATCTGAGCAGGCTTTGCTTTTCTGCTTCCTAATGCACATAGACATGGGGACATAAACAAGACGAGCTCATTCTGTTTTTATACTCCAACCACACAGTAATTGATTGTGAATCACAGATCTTTGATCAGTAATTGGACAAAATGCCATTGCCGATGAAGAAATCCATCTCTCTTCCTTACTCACGCTCTCACATTCTCTGTTTTCCTTGTTTGTTTCAAAAGTGATTTATTCACATTACTCCTGTTTTTCCCCTTAATTCTTCAATTTTTTTGCCCACTCTCTCAAATTTTGCTCTCTTGTTCACAATCCCTACTCCTATTTTACTGTCCCCCATCACAGAACAAAGATGGGAATTGGAAGTACCATCCATCCATCTGTCCATCTGTCTTGTGAACTGAATAACTAGAGAATAAGTGAAGTGCTGACTTTTATTGTGGTTTGTGGCTGCTTCTAGGCGTAAATAAGATTCATATAGAAAATTAGGTTGCTGTTAAATACTGTATGTCTTGATTGTTGCTAAATCGAAGCAAACTTATCAAACACAAAGTGTCTATTGCTAGGCCTGTAATTTCACTTAGTTGTTCTAGTGCTGGATAGGAGTCAGTCACTTTGGTGCACCCTAAATGATGACAAAACATGGGTCTGCAAAAGTGTGTGCTTAAGTCCTCTAGGAGCATTGCTACAAATACATTAAATAAATGTGAAGGCAGAGTTTTCTCCGGCTCCACCAACCTCCTCCAGGTCGTCTTTGGCTCCGGCAACTTCCTCCAAGTGCCCGTCAGCTACAACTTTCACCAGTCCCCCATCGTACCCCATTTGCCTCCTCGCCTGCAGCTCCTTTGTTTCACCTGTGCTACAGAGGTTCTCCAGGTCATCCACCAGAACTGTTGCCCTGTGTTGGACTGTATCCGGGCCATCCCCAGAACTTTCTATGTTTTATTTCTAGAATTCCCAGTTATTTTCCTGTCGGTTTTCTGTTTTGATTCTATGTTTTGCATTCGTGTGTTTCCTCTTCCTCCCATTGTCTAATTTTAGTGTAATCTTTGTATTATCCTCAGTGTAAGCCTGCTCATGTGTTCTTCTCTAGTTCCTCCCATGCACACCTGAACCCCATGTCTCTTCCTAGGTGTTCTCTATCATCCCCTTGTTTCCTCACTTATTTTGTGTCTTCACTTCCCTGACTGTTCATTGTGCATCCTGCCACCAGTCTGGTTGGTCCTCCTTGCTCACCATTGTCTTTAAATGTTTTCTTAATTGTTAAGAGTTTTTCTGTTGCATTTTGGTTTTTGTAAATAAATCTTTTGTTTTTGTGGACACCCGAGTTTTGCCTGCTCCCTGGGTAAAATCTACAAACAGCCTGACAATAATATATTAACCTTTGTTTGTCTGCAGCCTCCTTATTGTATCTTTGTTTTTCTTTCTCAGTTTGATCAAGCATGACATGATTCTACAATCAGTCTTTCAGCTCATTATGGTAAGAAACCTTATTGTTAATGTCAATCAGTCAAAATTCTGACAATCTCGGCTGATAAAATACACAAATCAGGATTTGTTTTATTTTTTGCTGTCTAACAACAGCTCAGTTGTATTCTGTTTCAGTCCTCTTCCCTTTTCTCTCTATCCAACCCTTATGTAAATCAGTCTGAGTGGTGCTGACCTGTTAGAGGGCTGGTGTAATTGACTGACAGGTCAGCAATAAAAAGAAGTAAGGGTTAATAGAGTGGGAATATGGACTCAAACACACGACCTTACTCTCTAACACGGGCAACACTCGCTTGCTATCAGCAAAGAATAACAACGTTCCCAGTAAACAATTTATTTTACTGGACCGTTTTTGCTAACACTAATGCACTACAAACATAACACAATTTAGTTTCAGCAAACCAAAATGTGTGTGCTGCAGGAAACAATTTTCTCTTTACACACATGCATGCGCACACATCCTTAATAATGAGTGTTCTGCATGGCTGCCTTCACAACCACGACTGGCTCATGCAGAATTTTTAAACACTGTTATCCAACAGCCTGATTAACTCGTCTCCTGAGTGTTTACTCCTGTCTGAACCACTCATGTCTGGGTCCATTAGTGCTGTCTATGTTGCTCACCTTTGGATTGATTTATGCTGCATAAAATCCTCTGATCTAGACAGAGTACACCTATCAATGGTGATCACACTTGTCATGGAGAAACTCACCTAATTGTTTTTGTCTAGATGATGAAGTAGTTTGGTTTCAGACATTAAAGAACCTCAGGATGCTGGCTAGAATGAGGTTGTTAACTGTTTGGCTGCTTGCTGTTCCTCAGAAGAGAAGGAAACAGATGGCTTACATTCAAACCTTTTCAGACATTACTTGGCAAATCATAGATTAGATATACTGTATTCTAGATACACGGATAGACTACAGTTGCTAAGTGTGTTGAGTTGGCAGAATGCAAGCTTAACTAATGCTTGTCTTTACACAGTCTTCATTGTCAGCATCATGCTTTTTTATTATTCATACTCCAGTGTTTTATTTTTTTTTAAGGTCAGAATGGATTAGTTTTGTGATTTGTTGTTTCGAAAAGGCAGTTAGTCCAAGGTGTGAAGCGATGTCATTGTCTTCAGCCACAGGCAACTGTACATGATGAGCACCCGGCAGACTTATCAGCACATACACAGATCACACTGATGTGTGCAGACCCTCGAGGCAGAGCTGACATATCTTACAGAGGATTAAATACTGAAATTGGGACAGGAGGAGTAGGGAGATATCAAAAAATAAATAAAAAAGAAGATTTAGAGGTTTGGTTAGTTGGAAAAAGAAGTTAAAAAATTGAAGGGAGAAAAAAAAAGAATAAAGTTGTTGGGGGGAAAAAGAAAGGGGAAGATGAAGACTACCGCTTTGACTAGTGTTTCTTTTTAAAAATCAATCTTTATCAAAGGTCAGACTTCTAACATCTTCTGGTACTTCTTGTTGAATTAATTAGTTTGATCTTTTCCAAAGTTCACACACTATTATCAGTTTGTACTACTTGTAACCTTCAGATAGAATTAATCAGTAAAGAAGCAATCCATGTTATGAATATACATCAGTCAGCCATAACATTATGACCTTTGACAATCACTCCTCACATCTGCGCTTATTGATATTATATATTGGCATTTCAAAGGTGTAACATCAAAAAGCCTTAACTATTTGTTGAATACAGATGTGATGGTTTAAGCTGACTCTGTCTTGTCTTTTTTGAAGACCAACAATGTAACCAGTGGAATAGTTCAGAATGCAGTCATCTTACTGTGTAATCTTAGTGGAGACACAGTGCTGGATCTGCAACCACCGCATCAGCAAGGTACAGTATGTCTACAACCTAAACACACCATGATCAAAGATATTAAAAGTGTGTAAAAAATTTTTATGGGACAGGCCAGCTGTCTTCTGCATCTCATTAATGTTAACTGAGGGTCTGGTCCCATGGTGGTCAAGTGTCAGTTGTGGCCTGGTGCATTCCCATTTTGCAGACATTTTTTAGGGGTGTCATAATACATGTTTTTCTCAAACTTAGTATAAGTAAAAATACTTCAGTTTGGATACAGAGTACTTACTGGGTTAGAACCTAAACATTACACCATTGTTATATTTAGAACAAGTTGTCTCTTGTAAAGGTTCGAAATTATTTAGCAAGGATCTCTTATTTTCGGTAAGTATCTTTTTTGTGCAAAAATGAATGGACAAAACACAGTAAGTGACGTGGCTCAGTGAATTTTGAGTTGATCCATTAATAAATGTGATCATTTATTTAAACAATCAAAAAAATCACTACATTACACTAATTTGTGGGCAATCAATTTTCTATAAAGAGTTTTAAGAACCAATAATAACAAGCACATCTCGAGCTTGATTAATTGTCAATCCAGCCCTTAACATAGAAACAGCAAAACTCAAGCTTAGGTCTTGAATAAACCGGAACATTTACTGGTAAATAAAAACTTAGGTTTTGGCAAGGCAGGGGTTTAAGAAAAGGAGGAATAGTAAGATATTAGTTGGTTCCTAACTTTTATCTTATCTTAAAGAATATGAGGAACCAGAAGAGCAGGCGTCTCTCTCGCTCGACATCTGTCAGACCAGCGACACTTGGTAAAAACAGCCAGCTTTACCTGGACGATGACCGTCGAGTCACGATTCAGGTAGTAAGGGAGGTCGAACAGTGGCAAGGAACCGTTAGAGCCTCTTGCTCGCTTGGACTCTCCGAGGCACAATTTACTCTTTCAGAGCCAGCTCAGTCCACATCAGCCACAGGAGAGAAGCGAAGCACTTGGTCCTCGATCTTCAGAATAAAAATTGCTCCCCACAGGAAGTGAAGACAAAGTTGCTTTGTGAAGCTTTAAACTTGTATTTTTGGGCACGACAGGGTGTCATGTCCCATGGCTGTTTAGGTTCTCCATTGGTGTTAAAGGGTCAAACCTACGGCCAAAATGCTGCTTCTCCAACAGGAGAACCAGCTGTGTTGCAGACGCAAGTCAGTCTGTCTCTTTCTAACCACCCAAGCGGAAACTGTGTTAGTCATTAAAGAGGTTTTTTTGGTTCCGCCCTCAGTCAATATGTTTAGTAAAACAGGAAGATAAGGGAAAGTGTTAGTTCAGACTTGCCGTCGCCTTCTGAAGCTTAACAAATGCTGCGTTCCAGTAGTCCTGAGAAGTGGTAATTTCCCTGTTCCCATTGGTAGATTTAAACTGGAACACCCCTCCAGTGGTAATATTCCACTTGTATAGTGGAAGAAATGAAACTGCCCCCAGTTTCGATTTCAAGATGGCGGCTACTCGCAGCTTAAGAATGGTAACTCTGTAACTTTTACTGTTATCTTTCTTAATTTTTTGTGCATGTTTAATCACTCGCACAAGTAGTGCATTTTTTGTGCAATGCTGTACTTATTAAAATCAATGTTTATTTGCATGACGTACGTAGCAGAGCTCTCTTCTTGTCATTGTTTATAATGTAGCAGTTTTGTAGCTAGGTTAGCGGCAACAATACAGTCGCTTGTCGGCTAACTGGAGTGCAGTTTCATATGGTTTGTTGGGAAATGACGTCGCTACCATTTACCAGTTCTGGGAATATGATGTAAATAGAATGCACCAAAAGATTATTGCTTCTGTAGAGTTGCATAATCAAAAACATATGTTGACCTGTTCAGATATTTTCTAATGAGAACTCTTTAAAAATAATGACTGAAAGAATAAATTATTTCAAACTCAAAGACATTTGCAATATGATTCAGACAAGTAAGACATTCATGTTTCATCGTGAACTTAAACCATAATAATGATTAGTTTAGCCAAGTAAGACGTTTCCACAGAAAAATCCATAATATAGCTGAATCATACTGAGGGAGAAAAGCCTGTTTCCTTTTCTCCTGTAACTTTGATAAACATTGTCTAATTATCAAAATGCGTAAAAACTCTTAGTTAAGAGAAAAATAAATCAAATAAAAAGATTATTCTGTTTATTATCTGATTAAGAAAAAGAGAATGTCTCTTTTACAAGTTAAGGTGACCTGCTGTGGCTTAAATTCAGCTTTAACTGGAACATATTTCTGTCTCTTTAAAGTGCCCATCAGAGGTCTGCAGTCAGAGACAGCTGATTATTTTACTCGAGGTGACCCCTACACTCTCCTTCCTTATAGGCCAACAGCCCTTCTGAACGGATCAAATCAAATACTCAGCATAATATTCAGTTTAGTGTTAAACATTTAAAAATAAATAAAAATAACAATTAAGGTTTTGTTTCAACTTGTCTAAATTCCTAAATATTAAACAAAATTTTCACCTGAAATGTAAAGTATAATACATTCAGTATAGTATCGATACCAACAACAATACTGGTGTTGGTATCGGGGCATTTTGTATGAGTATGAATATTTGTAAAAATGCTTGTATTGGAACATGGCTTGGGTTTTTGCTTATTTATTTATTTAATTTTTTTGTGGTTTGCAACATTTTTCCGTGGCTTTTGTTTTATTGGTTTTTGCTTCTGTCTATTCCTTGTGATCGCAGTGTTTTTTTTTTAGCAATTTTTTGTTGCATTTGTTTTTAGTTTGTGTTTAATGAATTGCATCACATCTGTTTGCATTTAGCATTTGTTGTGTATTTAACCATTTGTGATTCATTTGTATGTATCAGCCACCATAAATTTTATCATCAATATTAAATGACTCCATAAAAGCCTAACAAACTTTAGTTATGTCATTTTGTGGAGTCTTTTACACATTAAGTCATTGTTTACATTTTGGTACAGAATATCTTAGCAGTTACAAAGAAAAAGACTATGCTTGTTTTCTTAAATTCCAAAAATAGCTTGATAATTGTTCCTGTGTGTCTGTCTACCTTTCACTCTTTCAATGCCATTCTCTCTATCGTTCACTCTGTGGGTTTAAATCTACTCTCAACCCCTCCTCCTCTTCTGTTTCCTGTGGGTCAGCAGAGCAGCAGTTCACTAGTCAGCATCATTATCATCCAATCAGCTCTCCTCTCAACAAGAAACTGTCAACCCAGCACTAATACTGGTCAGGCAATAATGATATCTCCTCTTTCTTTCTGTTTTACTTGCTTTTGTTTTTCTTTTCATATTCCTTTCTCTTGTCTTGCGCTGTCTTTCTCTGTTTCTAATCTTATTAGCTCCCATTTTGCCCCATCATCTCCTATTTTTCCCCTTCCCTGCTCTCAGTTTTACCCTTGGCCCCATCCTCGATTTTGGTGTCTCCTTTTCTCCCTTGTTTTCGAAGTGGTTCGCTCCGAATCAGCGTGGTGATGGGAGGGAGAATGAGAGAAAAGGAAAAGGAGGAAGCGTGCATAATTGGCTTTTTAAGGTGTGACAGAGAGAGGAGGGAAACTGTAGAGTGTGAGCCTGTGTGTGTGTGTTTTAGGCAATAAAAAAAAGACGCCGAAGAAGAGCAAAACAGGGTGGTGGATTTTGTGTGAAAGTGTGCATCCGTGGAGCAGAGGATTCAGGAGAACCCTGTGTTTGTGTTTGTGTGTGTGTGTGTGTGTGTGTGTGTGTGTGTGTGTGTGTGTGTGTGTGTGTGTGTGTGTGTGTGTGTGTGTNGTGTGTGTGTGTGTGTGTGTGTGTGTGTGGGAAAGAGATGAGGTTCATAATTGGGCAGATTTGCCTCTGACTGAGATAATACCCCCTGGGGAATGAAGACAGACATAGGACAGAGGAAGCAACAAGAAAAAAAGGGCAAAAGATGAAGACAAAGAAGTAAAAAAAGTAAAAAGGAGAAGCAGAAAGGTGACAGAATGAGATACATAGAGAGAGCATGTGCTCCATTTGGGACGAAGACACATGGGACAAATGAGATTATAAGCAATGAATACTGGAAGTTAAAAGGAGTAACGTGGATAGAGAGAAGCAGCAGAGACAAGATAGCTTGACTTCAGGGTTAGAAATGATTCCTAAACAATTTTCTTTTGATTTTATGCAACCAGATTGCTTTATTTTATATTTGAGGGCAGACTGGAGAACATCTAGGCTGTAATTTGATTTTTAGAATGATAAGAACTTGGGCTTCACCACAAAGAGAAAGACCAAGTAATTTAACAGGAAAATGGTTGCATCCATGTATATAGCATCTAAAAATCACCCCAGTACTTCAGAAGTATCTGCGCCCTGAGCTGTCCTTGAGTTTGGTCTTTGGCTGAGTTGCTGATAAAAGATAAGATAAGTAAAACAAGACTATCTTTTAATTAACTAAAAAGTCCTAGGGAACTCTGTTAGAGTCATCTAATTATTTCTTTTGGCCTTTTTTTTTTCAAAACTCAACAACTCAACTGCAACAATTTACAGATCTTAAAATGCCATAATGTATTCACAATGGAACATAGTAGACATGTCAAATGTCTAAACTCAGAAATTGAAAGATTTTTGAAGAAATCTTCTTCATCTAGCTGTTTCCTTTTCAGGGGTTGCCACAGCAAGTCACAGTCCTTTTCATCCTCTGTCCTCAGTCCATCATGTCCCCTCTAACTGTATACATACAGTATATCTCCTCTTTGTTTTGTTCTTTGCAACTCCATCTCTAACCTTTTACAAATATAACCACTGTCCCTCCTCTGTACATGTCCAAGCCATCTCATTTTGGCCTCTAACTTTATCTTTCAGTCGTTCAAATTGTGCAGTACCTCTGATGATTTTGTTCCTAATTGTACTCACCCTCGTTACTACCAAGGAGAACCTCCGCATCTTCAGCTCTGTCATCTCCAGTTGTGTCTCTTTGTCAGTACCACTGTCTCCAAACCATACAACATAGATGACCTCACTACTCTATTATAAATCTTTTCTTTGACCTTTGCTGCCACA